CCCTGAGACCAAGAATTAGAGCCCACAAGACTACCACTCACATGACTTCCACAGCGCCAGGCTGTGGCGAACTTTTCATATATTTCACTTTGAAATTTATGCCTATGCAAATTAGGACTCACAAATTTAGACGAATCAGTTAGCGGCGCTTCGCGCCGAATACTGAGATTTTCATCATTTCCAATATTGTTTTCTGTTGCACTGATGAAGGTTGCCCTTTGAGCATCTGAAACAGCTGTCTGCTTTTAATAATATTTTTGTGCTCTTTAACGTTGTCTACCTTAGTTCGTATTTTAGCACAAAGGTCGCCCACTTGTGTATTTTCATAAGAGATAATTAGGCATAAAACCCTTTACGTAAAACACTCACTTCCTGTAGCAACACATCAATCATGTTCGGAAAATTTTATTGCTCCTTTGAAATTTGAAAAAACAAGATTATTAAAAGATAATTTTAAGTAATTCCTTTTATTAATGAAACATAACAGAAGAATTTAAAAAATCTATTCCTATCTATATTTAGATCAGCAGAGGAAAACATTTTTGAAGGAGTGCTATTTTCGGAGGCAAAAAAATTATGTTAACCATTACCTAATTTTCCATACTAAAAAATATAAAACAAGTATTTAAAGACTCATTAAGGTATTTTTATGCAAATAGCATCGATATTTCTTGCAAGATTTTTGTAGATGTTGTGTAGTTATTATTAAAAGATACCAATTTTGGGATATTTACATTTTATTAAAACCACAATATACAGTAAATTATTGATTCCTGTAATTAAATAACAAACATAACAGTTCATAAAAAAAATCAATCTTTTAAAAAAGGATTTTTGACTGTGATATCAGTTCCTTCAATTTCGTAACTTAAATATTCCCAAGATCGGTTGTTTCTGCACTCATGTCCACATTTTGTAGATGAGCACTTTGGGCATTTGAACCAACATCCGTCACAAGTTCTGTCTAAGCAATCACATAAATCAGCTTTGGATTCTAAATGTATCCCATTTTCATCATACTTCGCATTGTGTTTAGAATTTTCTGGTTTCTTAGACCTAAAAAAATTGACCATTTTTTAATTGAAATATTCAAATACTAGAAAAAATAATGTGTATAAAAACAAATACAATTTTCAAATACAAAAATAAAGTATTTATGTATCAGGCAAACTATGCTAATGCACATTGCAGAAATTTAATTTATATAGGATATTACATACATTGGTGTCCAAAAGTTTTAACTCGTAAAATATGGTGGGGGGGGAGTAAATATCAATAAAATTGTCCACAATCACTTTTTAAAGGTGAAACTGTGTGCACTTACAAAACATTTCAGTAAATGTTGGCACGTGCAAAATATGTGTACAAGTCAGAATAAGTATGAAAGTGTTCCCCAAGCTATTAAATACGGTGATATGATCTCTCAGATCTCGGGGTTTCAATCATTACAAACGCCTTTTAACATAAAATATATTTCATAACAAGAAGGATGATGATGATGTTACAGTGTTATGGAGGAAACTGATTAGAAACTAACTGATTTTACATTGCTGCGCAGAGCGCCATCTATTGAGTTATAGAAATTATAATTAGTATGGAGAAATAATATTAACACAAGCCATGAGGATATCAGGTAGGTTATGTGCAATTGTTGAGCTGGGTAGGGAAGATACTTTAATTATTAGAATTAAAATTTTATGTTGCAAGCCTATAAGCTATTTTTTGTTCAATAGGATTGTTTTTACTCCAATAATTCTAGTATAAAAAGAGTAGGTGTGAAAAAGGCACAGCAATTAAAAAAAAAGAAAGACACAGGACACTAACAATATTCAACCTATTTTTTTTGCAGCGGTGTTTAAAAGTCAAACTCAAAAATAAAAGTCAACACAAATGGAAACAATGCCCTTGTTAGCCCTTTTTTTTCACTCTTAGATAATGCTCTCACATTAAGAACCCAAATTATATGACTGGTTTTGCTTTTATATTAGTCTCTATCTTTAGTTTAGGAATCCTTTTTCAATTGAACAAATTAAACTTGCACAGGCATCAATAACTCTTTAAACCAACCAACTTCATGTGGATTTAGTACTTAATCTCCTCATTAGAAAGAAAGTGACCACCAAATTAATTTTTTTAAAGATATCAAACTGTGCAAAATTTAATTTTGAATTCTGAATGAATTTCATCGCCATCGCTACCATTAAATAAAAAGAAGAAAAAAAAGACACAATTTCTTAAATATTGCAATATTTCTCCAGCCAAACTTTTCTTTCTCTTTATTCTCTACTACAGCAGGGTCTGAAGCAGAAAGTAAGTGTAATCAACCTGACTTCATTACCACCTTCTCCTGATTCAGAAATTTTTGTGATAGAGCAATAACTTGTACAGATTTTAGCAGGTTTGGCAAGCATCTATAACTAAATTAACAAGTTAAATGTGAATAGTTACAATCTCCGAGGCAGAATCACAGTGATACGGCGGCATTGTCGCAGAACGTTACAGAGTTCTTGCAGAATGATTTTTCTTTTGAAAAGTTTTTCTACAGAAATTTACTAATATTTGCATCATGCATTTAGATAATCACTTTTTGACGTTCTCAATTTACGACGATAGTATAGTAAATCGATGTAATATTTCGATTGTATTTTCGGCAATTATTGATATTGATTTTCATGTAGATTTTAACTATTCCGATATATTTCAAACAATATAGAAAATTCGAGTCATGATTTGAGTATTTACTTTTTAAGGCAATAATTTTATCGAATTTTTGCAGTTACTGCTATTGATTTCTCCATAGTTTTTAAATCCGATATTTTTAATTCGATATTATTCATTACAACAACGTAATCTCATAGCGAAACACACATCTGAGGAGCCAGATTCGTGTGATTTTGTCGTCAATCTTTTTCTACAACGGATTTCATGATTTTTAATTATATATTTTATTGTGATAATTATTTACAAAATGCAAAGAAGGAAATAATTTGTGAGTCAGCTCCCCCACGAAATGCGAGAATATCACCAATAATATTAGAAGAAAAAAAAAATTGTATGTTTTATTAAAAAAATTATATAGTTTTACAGTGCTTTTGTTATTTTAAATTTGTAACATATATGTTTGTTATTATTAAAAGTATCTAGCAGAAAGATACTAGTAATATTGAGTTTTGTCGCAGATTGCTCGAAAAAATTCTGCCACAGGGGTTACAATTACTTATCTATGGCAGATACTGGAATGCTAGGGAACAGTTGCAGACACTGCTAACTGACTGATTTTCTGTTTATGTTTATATTTGTATTGTTAATATTCTATTTAATGTTGTTTTTGTTTTTTTGTTCTAATTGTTTTTGTATTTCGAATGTTTTAATTTTTTTTATTTGTTGTTATTACTTATGGGTTTGTGCGGAGTGATTTTACACTCCAGCGAATGATATATATCAAGTGTTGCTGCTAGAAATTTTAACAATAAAAAAAATTATCAAAATATTAGCTTGAACATGTGAACCTAGATGATAAAAAGGGGAATTTAAAGTTTATTCAAGAGTAACATTTATTTTATAAAAATAATAAACATATAAATAAATTTCAAGAACTAAGTATCTGAAATTATACTTACGAATTATCGGAACTTCCAGCATTTCGACTTTCTGTTGATCTAGTTTTGCTTGCTCTCTAAAAAATGAAGCAAAAACATTAAATTATAAGTAATGTATAGTAATTACTGCAACTCAAATAATATTCTATAACCATATGAAGCGATTGATTAATTTTCTGACACTAAATTTAAGTGTAGATTAAGCGCTGATGACATGGACAATGACATCAGCAGATAGACAATGTCTTTTAAAATTATTATAATAGAAAAACTTTTACATGGAAATTTATAATTGGAACATAAATTTAGAGATCCAAACAAGCTGGAATTTGTCTAATGTTATAAACAAAAATAAATTAAAACAATATTAAAAAACTTTTGACAGTTACAGAAAGTAAACAGCGTCTTTAAAAATTAATAGTATAATAGAAAAAATTATATAGTACAGAAATTAAACCCAATTTTATGTTGAAATCGCTCAGTAATAATCGAAATAATTGGAGAGTACACACGAGAAACATGACACATGTGCGAGTGATAGACATAAAAATGATAAAAAAAATTAATTTAAAAAACAAATGTATCCTAATATTACTTAACAGTTTATTAAAAAAAGAAATTGTAGAAAAGATTGTAAGAAAAATACCAAGTAAATTCCAAAGAAAAATTAAGTTTTATTAACAGAGCATGAGCTGCAAGCATATAAAACCTATAATATAGCATGATAACAAAAAGAAAACAAGAACGAAGCACAGAAAACAAAAATTTTAAAAGGAAATATTAATTAAAGGGATTTTAAATAAAAGATTAGATATTAAAAGCTTGTGCATTTTGGGGATATTTACGTATCTTAATCTGTTGAGCTAATGACAATCACCAAGGTGCCAAATAAATTCTAAACTTGCAATTTTTTAAAAAAAAAAAAAACATGTAGATGTTTGTCCGGGGTGGTTTTGAGTTGGTCCCTTTCTGTGATTTTTTTTTTCTCTTCAGTTTCTCGCTGGCCTCTGCTCGGAAGTATCCAAGACTTGGTGATTATTCTGTCACTGATCAGGATGCAGAAATCTCCCCTGTATTTTTTTAGGAAATGGTTGACAATAATGGTTGAAAGTATTACTTAAAATATGTTACAAAACTAAAATCACAAGTTGAAGTTTTTTCTTTTTAGTTGCCATATTTTAAAAGAAAAAAATTCATTATGTTATTGTAACGGAAATATAAGTATAAATTATAATATATTTTATTTTTTTATGTATTTTTCTTCTCTTTTAGATAAGCAGGAATGTAGATACAACCTGAAATTAAATTACATAAAATTCATATAAAAGAGTTATGAAGTACCACAATTCTAAGCCTATTTATAACTTACAATATTAAAATAAACAATAGAAATAAAACTCCAAAGCTAAAACTCCTAAAATTTCTCAGAATTGTGGAATAACTTTCACAATATAGACTTATAGTAAAATATAGACAACATAGTGAAATTTATTGTTATAGTAGTAACCTACTAATAACAAAAAATTTTACTAAATTTAAAAATTTTATATAAGAGGAAGGTTATTTTAAGTGTGAAAATTTCAGTATAAAATTAATTTTTGTGTTTTGGTTTTCAACTTAAATACATTGATTGGTTCAGCTATGGATTTTAATCTAACTTTACCTTATTTTCAGACATAGCTTTTATACAATCTATCGATTTTGTTGGGGGAAAAAACAATGCAAATAGTTTTAAAACAGTAATCTAAATGATTGCTATGTTAATCATACCAAGCTTTTATACATTTGTTTTGTCATTAAATGATTTTGTCTACCTACTTCTGTACTACCAATAGCTTATCTAGAATTGCCACTTGCGAATAAAAATAAATTTAATTTAACGACAAAGTAAACAACCGAATTAAATCTCTGATCCCAGTTCATTATGCCACCGCGGAAATGAACTCATGATTTTGACGTCAGTTTTGCGTTGCCATATTAACATTTTAATACAGATCACGTTTTCTTGCTTTCACTTTCTACGGTCTTTAGAGGAAGTCATTGTCGTCTGCTTCAGAATGGTGGTACCTGTGGAAACACCAGCTTCAAATGATAACGAACCACATTTATTACTAAGGAGTACGTTTCTGGAAAATTTAAATTCTAAAGGAAATTACGGTACGTAGAAGTTTATTATACTTTTGCCTGGTTAAAACTTTAATTGCGTTGAAATGTATGCTTAAGTTTTTGTACTGTACTTGGGTTATTTTTGTAACTTTTTTTCCTTTAAAATTTAACTATTAGTTAAAATTTCGGCTATATTTTGCTACGAACTTCTTAGTTTAAAATTATGCAAGCTTATTTCAAGCCATTTTTCTTTTCTTAACCTTTGAGTTCTAAAATTTACGATGTTTTCTGACATATCGTCATAGCTTCTAATTATTAATATCCTTGTTTCATAACTATTCTAACTACAATTTAAAATTTTTATTTACAAATGGTATGTATTTTCATCGTCCCAATTTCTTTAAAATTTTTTAAACCGAACAGCCAAGATTTTTATGTACTAGTGCAGCAAAATTCAATATATTAATATATACTCCAACGTTTGAGGTTTATAAAAAAAAATTCCGGTGGAACGAAAACCGGAGTTTCGAAAACAATAACATTTACCAAACTTTTATGAGAACATAAGTTCAGAACCATTTGATTTGACCTTTAATATGTCCGTTTAAACTTTTTATAAATAGTGATAGAGTGGACAATTTTCTAGTAAATCTTTATTATTAAAATAATAAAATATTACATTTGCTACCACTAAGAAAGATTTCTGCAACTACAGCAATTGAAATGGAGTTCGAACGTATGTATTATGTTTTATTTTGGTGAAAATAAAAAATTTATCATTTTATGGTACTTTGTTAAACAAGCTTTTACAATTTCACAAATAGGTTTGTCTTAGGTTGTGTGTATTGATACAGGACAGTTCCATTGTAAAAGAATAACATTTATAGAGAAAAAAAAATGACAGTACTTGGTTAAAATTACAAAATAAAATTCAGATTTGGACAAATTTAGTCATCATTATATTAGACTACATCGCTCATGGGCTGCAACAGTAGAACAACTTAAAAAACATGCTGTTTTGGACTAATAACAGGTGTAAATATGAAAATACATCCTTTTCAGCAGCAATACTAGCACAACTCATAGTTCAACTTGAAGGTAATCTTCCTAAAAGAGGAGCATTCTACTTCTTTATTTATGATCAACAAAGCTGTAAAGATCAAACTTTAATTATCAGCGAGTATAACCTTGTTTATCTTAGCTCTTATCAAGTGTCAGATTCATGAAAATCATTGAAGGAAAACTGTAATTGATAAGCACCTAAAAATTAGTTTGGAATTTTGTAAATACTATAAATTTTTTTATCGAAGGTTTTCGAAAATTAGGAAACGTTTCTTTTCTGTCTCCAATTTAAAACTTGCTGGCTTTATCCATCTACTAATTTATTTATTTTTTAAATTCATTGAACTTAAATTTATTTTGCAATTAAAAAAATTATGTTACTTTATCAATCTAATTTATAACAATACTTTTATCATAAGGAGTTGTGTGTCATCTTTACTTTTTTTATTTTAAAAAAAGGTCATTAAGTTTTAATTCGTTTCTACTAACTCATCTATTTTTGAAAATTACTTCTGATCGTTCTCCACACTCAACATTTGTGCTTTACTTGTGATTAGAAACAGCTTAAAATCAATAGGTACCTATTTAATTTAGCATTTATACCATTAATGTTGCACTTTTGTTAAAGTTGGTACATATTATTAGTTTGAATTTAGTTAGATTTGTATTTAATTGTATAAACTAATTTAGATTTGTATTTAATAGCTCGATTTTGATAAGCTTTTGAAAGGGCCAATTTATTTAATTATTGTTCATTATTTAACTTGTAATTTTTAATTGCATTCCTTCATTTTAGTAAGATTTTTTTTTTGTTTTATTATAAAGTTAAAATTTGCATGATATTTTACCCCAGTGATTCAAGTTATGAAACTCTAAGGGTATTCTTTTTTTTCCAATAATTAAAATAACATATTTCAAAGATATTGTGCTACTAGACCAGTTTGTTACCCAGGGTTTGAATACCTTTTGGAAAAGTTGTTTTTTTCAAGACATGTGGTGTTAATATTTCTCAATGTTAATAATAATTTCTAAAACTCAACAGATGGCGCTCTGCTCACTAATGTGAAATCATTAATTGTAATTAGTTTTCCTCCATGCCTCTGTATCATGAACATCTTCCATGTTTTTGTTATTAAATATATTATGTTAAAGGCGTTTGTAATGATATAAAACCCCGAAATCATCGTATTTAACAACATGGTTACCTATAAACTAAAAATGATCAGTACAATTGTTTAGCAACAAATATTAGCTTTAATTTAAGAACATAAAATGTGATATAATACAAAAAAATAATTAAGTTTCTCTTCATATTTACTCTTTTACAAAAATAACTTATTTTACTTTTACATAAAATATAATATCTGTAACCTATTACTAGTGTTTTATTTTTTAACGAAGTGTTATATTATTTAATGAATGTCTAATTTTCTATCTTAAATATAAATATGTACTCTTAAATCTTTATAAATTATGTATACTTATTATTTTTAGTTTATTCCATCTTCCATTTAAAAAAAATTAATTCACATAGTTTATTTAATTTTTATAAATTATTAATTTTCCAGAAATTAATTTCATTTTCTTACTTTACGAGTGTGCAATTAGATAATTGCACTGGTAAATTCAGTTAATTTAATAATTTACTTCTGATTAAATTTTTATTTCTTTTTTTATGGAGGGGGAGGAGTATATTAAAAAAAATTTTAATTTTAAATTTTACTATTTTATAAAAGTATTTTTTTAAAAATACTTTTTATTAAAAAATGTACCTTTAAATAAATGTTCATGTTCTCATAATTTTCAGTTAAAGATCTAAAAAAAGTTGTTAATCAGTTAATCAAGCTGTTTATCAGTTAATCATTTTTTTTTTTTAGTTTGATTTTTGAGGGAAAGTTATACACAGATTGGAATTTTGATAATGAATGAGAAGTACTTTTTGAAATGTACACATAAAATAGTAGGAGAGGGTAATTTGAAAATTGTTAAGGGTGAAATTCAGTTAATTTCAAGTCAAATCAGTAATATTACATATTTTGATAAAGTTTAACAGTGGTTTTTCTGAACTCTTAAGTGTCCTTTTCTCGGAGGAAGCACTGTGCCCTTTTTATTTCTTAGGGAAGGACTCTGCCTTTATTGATGTAATTTTTAGAGGTGCACCAGATACCTGGCCAGAATTTATTTACCCGGACTAGCAAAGGAATTTCACTACCCAGATTCCAGTACTTGGAACTGGTTTTAAGTCACAAGAACATTACTGGGTATCCAGTGTTAGGTAGCTCTAATTTATGTTTAACAAAATCATTCAAAATTATAGTAACCTTAAAAAATTATTCATATGTAGTTTTTGGAAGTCATGTCTTGTATTCTATCTGTCTTAGTACTCAAGCTGAACTGACTGTTTAAGCATGACATATTTTACTGTTGTGCAGAATTTTAATTCAAGAAAACATTGGTAAACTAAACACCACCTGTTATATGAAGATCGTTATATGAAATGTTATGATATCTGCTCAAATCTTGTGCTTAAAGTCATTATTCCATGCAAATTTTAATTTTGTAATGTATAAAAATACCTGTATTTTTTGTTTTGTTTGTTTTATAAATTGGACCGAAAACTTACCTCAAACCTCATATTCTCTTGTTGGTATAGTTAAGCATAAATCTGAATCTTTTCTTCTCGAAATATTAATACTTTTCATTATATAAATTAAATTTAGAATGCTCTAATTTAAGTGTATAAATTTAATAATTCAATTCTCTTAACTTTAAGTTAAATCTGTTTATTATTAGTTAGTATTATTAGTTTTACTAATTACAGTCAAATCTCGATATCTCGAACTTGAAGGGAGAAGAGAAAAAAAATTCGAGATATCGAAAATCGCATTTTATCAGTTGGTAGAATCAAGAAAAATGCTCTTTACATAACTTATTTACTATTCCATATTTATTCTAAAACACTTTTTACTCTTTCCTTTTTAAAAAAATATTCAATTGTTTGCTTTAGAGATGTGTAAGAAAGTTTGTCTGTAACACTTTCTAAGTGGACTATAGCTTTAAATGTCTCGTCTGACATATTCGGCTGCCTCTCAATAAATCTCCTTACAGTGTCCACTGCAGAAAGTGCTTGTTTATTAGTAACATTGGGCGGTAAATCTTCGATTTCCTCATCCTTTTCTTCTGATGGTTCACAAGAAGCTTTCGTTTGAGCGATAATATCATTGTCACCCCACTGACCACACACTGTTACTGCATCTACGTTTACAAAGTCATGAAATTCCATGTCATCAAGCTTCATCAATCTGTTCCAATCATTTTCGGTGCAGTTTTCAGCGGAATTAAGGATATTGATTGTTTGACTACTTTCGTGATCTTTAATGAATCCAGACTTCTTAAAGCCATTCATTATCGTAGAGGAAGACACATCTATCCATGCCTTGTCAGCCATTCTTAATTTTTTTTTGAATATTTTTTTAATTTTAGAAAAAAATCTACATTATTTATAGAAAAAAATTCGAGTTAGTGAGGATTTAAAGAAAAATTTCGTAAAATCAAGTTTTTTTTAACATTGAGTGTATAGGAAATTTGGTTCGAGAAATCGAGGTTCGAGTTTGCGAGGTTCGACTGTATAATAATTAAATTAATATAAAATTTTAAATTGAAGTTAAAAAGCTTTAATTTAAACTATTGAAAATTTTGTTTGGTCCTTTTTTTTATTGCTAAATTTAATGTCAAAACTGCCAAAATATTTTTTTCTGATCAGGACAGCTAAACTATTTTCTTTAAAATTGTTTTAAAACTATTCAGCACATTTTTTTCACCTGTTAATAATTCTTAACTCTGGTTTTCGAGGGTGTAGTAGATCAATTGCAGTTCTGCTCAAAATTGTGTATATGTGGGACCCCTAAAAGACAAGATAATGTTATGTTTAAATTGTTCACGTATATTATTCAATTCTATAGCGTATGTGATGCGTCAATAGCTATATT